CTCTCTCTCTCTCTCTCTCTCTCTCTCTCTCTCTCTCTCTCTCTGTGTGTGTGTGTGTGTGTGTGTGTGTGTGTGTGTGTGTGTGTGTGTGTGCCGTGCATAGAGGTTAGAGGACAGCTTTCAGAAGTCAGTTTTCTTTCCACCATATGGGTCCCGGGTATTGCACTCAGGTCATCGGACTTGCTGGAAAAAGTCTTTAATCTCTGAGCTATCTCACCACCTGAGGAAGATTTTTTTAAAAACATATTTCTTAGTTCAGTTTTAGAAGTTTCTAACAAACTATTAGTTACCTAGTGGTTGCACATTTTGTCTTCCTGTTGGGGGTTGAAACCTAGAACAATATTCATGGATCTCCAGCTTGAGATTCAGACCCTGTGCTTCAGGGTGGATGGGAACCTAGCCCAGAGGAGCCCTGGAAACTCCTTCCTTCCGCTTTTAGAGTGGGTGATTAGCAGGGAAGACAGACTTTGAACATGTAATTACAATGATTAGAGGGTGCTGTGGAGACACTTGACAGGGTTTAACACGACCAAATCCTGCAGGCTGAAGAGCTGGCCGAGTGAAAGCTCTGCCCTGTGGTGACTCTCTTGTCTCACTCTTGCCTAGTGGGAAATCTATGATGCCTATGTAGATGAGCTTGAGAAACTGGAAAAGACCAAAGAGAAGGAGAAGACCAAGACTCCAGTGGCTAAGAAAACAGAGAAGATGGCCATGAGAAAACTGACATCTATGGAGTCCCAGGTTCGGTGGGGGTGTCTACAGCTCTGTCACAGAGTGTCTGAGTGGGGCCTTGGGCTGTAGGTAGATGGAAGCTTGGCTCTATAAAAGGGCTTCACGGATGCTCAAGGGGGAAGGCTGACATTGAGGTGTGGGTAATTTCTTACCTCAGGAGAAGATGTAATGACAGCTTGAATTGTCCCTGGCAGTCCACATCTTCCCCCAGTTGGTATTCTGAAGGTCAGAAGGGTTTGGGAATCGCTGGCCTAGGACAGACTTTCTTGAAAAGTCTGTGTTCTCTGCATTGCAGGAACGTTATGTGTCTGCTGTGGAGGGTGGGATCTAAGGATAAGGTGCCTTCCCTGAGTTTAGGGCGAGTCGGGTTCTTCTGCCTTCAGTCTGTGATTTAATCACGTCTGGCAGTCAGAGTGAGTGAGATGGCTCATGTTAATACTGTGACACGATCCAGAGTCACTGGGAAGAGGTCTCAAGGGGACTGTGTAGATCTGATTGGCCTTTGGGTGTGTCTGTGGGGGTTGTCTTGATTACATTAATTGACAAGGGAAGACCTGACCCACTGTAGGTGGCGCTATTCCCTAGGTTTGGAGTGGAGAAAGTGAGCGGGTATTAGGCAGGCATTCATTCATTCTCTTTCCCCTGACTGTGAAGCAACTAGTTGTCTCCAGTTCTTGCTGCCTTGAATTGCCCACTATGATGTACTGTAACCTGGAATTTTGAGCTAAAATAAACCATTATTCCCCTAAGTTGCTTTTGTCAAGGTATTTTTATCACAGTAACTGAAGTGAAACCAGGTCAGTGAGTCTTCAGGGCCAGGAGCCAGCCCACAATTATCCCAGATGCCGTTACCATCAGGTCAATGGATGTAGCCACTAGAGTTGGACTCACCATAAGGAGCCAAGTGGGAGTTTTAGAAAGACCATGGTGGGGGACTTGGAAGAGTGCAGCCTGCAGGAGTTTAGGGATCAATAGAGAATAAAGTGATATAACCATGGGGCAATGGCCACAGCAGGGATCACCACAGGAGGTGCTGGAGAACCTCATTTATTCCTGTAGCAGAGAGAAAACTGGGTCAGGAGATGGAGCCCCAGAGTGGAGATCCTATGGGTGTGACCTGCTTTGGAAGAGGGTCACCAGTAGCTAGGGGCTGGTTTCAGCACTTTGGAGAGCGCCCAGGGCACCTCACTCGGAAGTGGCTCTGCTCCTCTCTAACCACCGGAAAACCCAGCTCAGTTTAAAGAAGAGCTGCTTTCCTTTATCCCAGCGGTGCCCATGTCCTCTTAGTTCTGTTCCATGACCCTGATGTCATATTTGAAGGGAAGTTTGAGGGGCCATTGCTATGACTTAATAGACACTATCTTTCGGTTTCTTTGAATCACTGATCAAACACTGAATGATCATGGCCATGCCCAGTACGCAGTCTCAGGGTGGGATAGGGCCCTGCCTTGAGGGCTGTGTGGGTATCCTCGGCTCCCTTACACCATTCCTCAGAGGAGGCTCTGGCCTGGGTTAGGCTCATTGTGAAGACCTGTCAGAGTTTGGGCTATTGGCTCTGCTGGAACCCACAATGGCAGAAACTCCAACTAGAATCATCAAGACCCAGAAACCAGGAGAAGACTCTCTGTGGCTGAGACTGAAAACTGATTTGGAACCTAACGTCTGCCCAAGATGATGTCTAACACTCCCTGTCACACTGGGTTCTTCCAGCTTTGCTGATGTGGAGAACAGGGATACAGGCAGATTCTGATCTGTAGGGCTTTTTTAAAAAACTCTTTTTACCCTTTGCTCTTTAAGGGGCCCACCACCCAGCTCCCAAATAATCACACGAAGACTTATTCTTTCTTATAAAGCCCGGCCTTACCTTGGCTTATTTCTAGCCAGCTTTTCTTAACTTAAATTATCCATCTATCTTTTGCCTCTGGGCTTTTCCGTCCTCTATTTCTATACATCTTTTCTTTCCTCCTTATCCTGTGTCTGGCTGTGTGGCTGTGTGGCTGGCCCCTGGCATCCTCCTCTCCTCCTTTTCTCCTTTTTTTGCTCCCCTCTTCTCATTCTTTTCTCTGTTTACCCTCTCTGCCTAGCAGCCCCGCCTATCCCTCTCCTGCCTTGCTATTGGCCGTTCAGCTCTTTACTAGACCAATCAGGTGTTTTAGGCAGGCAAAGTAACACAGCTTTACAGAGTTAAACAAATGCACATAAAAGAATTCAAAACATCTTTGCATCATTAAACAAATATTAAATGAATGTAACACATCCTAAGCTAATATTCCACAACACTGGTCCTCTAGGCCAAGAAGTCACAGTGAGGCAGGACACTGGGGGTGTAATGTGCACCCGTTCCTGGGTGAGCACCTTGGTAAGAACTCTCTTCCAAGATGAGTTCAGTTCCTGCTGGGAATACCAAGTACTGAGCCAGGCGGTCTGTAGAACAGAAAAGACTGGCAGCACCTTCTCCTTTGCCCAGGCCTAAAGTTTGAGCAGAGAATTGCCATTTCCTCAAAGATCTCTGTCTATTTGGGTTGGTAAAAAGCTCAGGTGTGGGCAGGGAGAGAAGAGAATAAGTTCATGATACCCTGTGAGAAGGTCTCCATTAGTGGAGCTCAGGTCTCAGGCTCATTAGTGACTTGACTGAAAACACAAAAATGAATGCAAGCTTGTTTGGTCTGAAAGATTTGGCAGGCCCGGGGAAATGGGATCAGAAGCCACAAGTTCAGTCGGAACCCATGAACAGATGTGGCTACTCCAGGAGCATGGCGTCTAGAACAATGGAGGTAGCAGCCCCCTGGACTCTTCCTGAGCACATCTAGGCTCCTGCATCTCCCAGGACAAGGACAGTGTAGTCAGATTGAGAAGGGACCAGAGCGTGGACTCTGAATTCCAGACTAGTGCTTCGAGTCTGGCTTTGATACTATGAGCTGGAGCTTTCTGAAGCCTCAGTTTCCCCAAGTGCAAAGCCATCTTAATGACATCCTGCTTTGCAAGATTGTTGAGCAAATCCACAATGATGCGTATACACAGTACTAGCACTAGCACTGTTAGTGATATGCCACAGTAAGGCTGGTGGAGCTTGGAAGAGATTGCTGTAGGAAGTGTTGACGTGGGGAAACGAGGTACGGTTGTGCAGATCAGAGGGGTCATCTTCAGGTGTGTAGTTCCTTGTGGCCCGAGAAAAGAGTTCAGATTGTAGGTAGCCGAGCCAGGGGAGCTGGGGTCCACAGCAAGCGTTGACTCACATCGGAGAGTCAAGTGCCGGGAAGCTGAGAAAGGAGAGGCTGTGCTTTGGATCAGGAGTGGGAGGGGCGTCTGGGAACAGGTGGACTCTGAGCACTATACTTACAGATTCCAACATCTGCCCTCCTTGCCCGGTTTTCTAAGATAATAGAGTCAGTCTGAAGAGCAGTGAAGGGCCCTCAAAGAGCCATTTCCCGGATGCCAACGTGTAAGCCCCCAGCACTCACTGTTTGCTCTGCCACCAGGAATGGAGTTAATCAACATGCGCATTGTTGTGTTTACTCCCCACAGTGGTCTCTGAGGGAGAGGCTGCCTAGGCCTTTGTCACAAGGACTCTGTGACTCAGAGAATCAAAGTAACTTGCTCAGGGCTGCATCCAACTAGGAAAGAATTACACATCCATGTGATCTAGAATCTTGTCCCTTTTTAAGGTTTTTCTGAGATTTTATTTATTTAATTTGTGGAAAGAATGTCTCACTGCATGTGTGGAAGTCAGAAGTCAAATTGTGGGAATCGTTTCTCTCCTTCCACTATGTGAGTCCTGAGGGTGACCTCAGATCTTCAGGCTCTACCCACTGAGCAGTCTTGCCAGCCCCAGAACCCAGTCTCTTAATCACAGCCAATGTGGCCTCTCCCAGCAGTGCTGATCTCCAGGATCCACATGTCCAACCCATGGTCACTCTGGATATACACTTAGCTTGTTCCCCTCCTGCCACTCACCCAAACTCTTTGTTCTTTTCTTTGGTAAAGACTTATTTTTTAGTATTTTTAATTGTGTGGGGGGAGGGGAGAAAGGGTTATATGCACAGGGATGCGGAGTCCTTGGAGTCCAGAGCCACTGATCCCTCTGCAGCTGTTGTGAGCTACCCAGAATGTGTGCTGGGAAGGGAACTCCAGTCTTGGGCCAGAGCAATAAGTGCTCTGACCTCCTGAACCATCTTCTCTCCCCCACCTGATGCTTTTCTTGCTGAGCAACTTTGTGTGTTTTCGAAGTTGCTACTTCATTCAGAAGGAGTTATTTTCCAGGGTAGAACCTTCTGCTTTGTCTGCAGTCTGGGAAGGGCCCTGGGTTAGCAGGCTCAGTTCTGCCTTGCATTCCACCTGAAGCTTATCTCTCCCTATTTGGGCCTCTGTGACTCCTCAGCCTGAGACTAAATAAGGAGTTTGGGCTGGAGGGTCCATGAGACCTTTCATGGGAATCAGCCATTCCCTGCTCTGAGAAAGCCTCTCTGCCTCCACCAAAGCCTCTAACAGGTCCTTGAGTGCTCTGCCTTCTGATGCCTTCCTGGGCTCTGTTCAATGCCTTTTCCAAAACCAACTAGGTGGAAGAGTGAACAGCAGCTCTATCCTGGGACCAGATGCATCCCTGTGTCCTTGTGTACCCGTGAGGAAAGGCTCCTAGAATGTGGTCACGGTGGGAAACCTGGCTGTGAGCCGTTTCTGAGCCCTTTGGGATAGGTAAACCACAGGGTTATATTGCTGAACTGGTGGCAAATCTGGGCTGTGGCTCAGGGCATATGACCTTGCCGGGCGGGCACTAACTGATGAGGCCTTGTGACTTTTGTATCCCACAGAGTGATGATATCACCAAAGTGACCCAAGCTGCTAAAATTGTGGAGCGAATGGTCAACCAAAATACATATGATGATGTTGCTCAAGGTGAGACTTAAGGGGATAGTGGTTTTCATTATTTTTAGGTGTGTGTGTGTGTGTGTGTGTGTGTGTGTGTGCGCGCGCACGCGCGCGCGCGCATGCACGCACTCTCGCCTGCCTGTCTGAATGCGAACTACATGTGTGCCATGCCCACAGAGCCCAGAAGAGGGCATGGATCTCCTGGAACTGGTGTTGCAGATGCTTACGAGCTGCCTTATGGGTACTGGGAATCAAAACTCAGGTCCTCTTCAAGTGCTCTTAACCATGAGCCAACTTGCCAGTCTCAGAATTTAAAATCCTTCACAAAAGACTAGCATTTGAGTGTCCCATACGAAGTCCTATCGTGAAGGGGAAATAAAATAGCAACAAAAAAACAAACAAACAAAAAAAAAAAAACACCTCCTCTCCTCCTCTGGGTGTCGCTGCAGAGGTGAGACTTACGCTGTGAATGATGGTGTGAAAAACAGTGGGCGCAGTGATGAGATCTGACATGTAGCAAAAATGACCTGCAGAAGAGTGATCTAATGCCACATTCCCAACTGTCCTGGGGAGCAGGAGAGCAGACGTGGTCACTCTGACTCCGCAGATGGCAGCAAAGGCCGAAGCTGCCTGATTAGTGAGTGGCAAAGAGAACCCAAATTTAGTCTTGATCTTGTGTCCCAGTCTGCACTCAGTTGGCTTGGAGATGCTAACACTAGAATTCACAGGAGAGGAACTTCTCTGGGGCCCCCTAAAGAAGAGAAAAATAGTCAGTGGTGGCACACACCTTTAATCCCAGCACTTAGGAGGCAGAGGCAGATGGATCTCTGAGTTGAAGGCCAGCCTGGTTTATAGAGTGAATTCCAGGACAACCATGGCTACACAGAGAAGATCCGTCTAGAAAAAACAAAAACAAAAATAAGAAACAAATATGAGATGCATGGGACACGTCCAGGAGGGCTTCATGGAGCACTGGACTGGATGCCAGGGGGTAAGCAGGGCCTGTGTGAGAGGGTGTAGAAGGGGGAGTGTGTGCTCGGCAGAGGAGGGCATGAGCGAGACTTGGTGGCGAGAATGAGTAGGAACTGACTCTGGGGACAAGGGGCAGCAGGCTGAGGCCCCAAACAGCAGCTGTTGGGAAAGAGGGAGAGTTCAGGAAGAGAGGAGGAGGAAGAGGATGGACGGGGCAGAAGTCAGGGACCGAGGTGAAGGTATGGGGTGGGTGGAGCAGGCTTCGCCCTGCCTGGGCAGACGGGATCATAGGGGATGATGGCACAAAGGGAGGGCTGTAATAGTGGAGAACAAGCACCAAAGCTCACTGTGCGGGGCCTGTGGGCTGGGCATCATGCTGTACAATGTGGGCACAGCACTTTACGTGCTCCGAACAGCCATCCTGGGATGTAACATTATTATCCCATTTGACAGATGAGAAACCCAAGCTAACACGTTACTTCTTGACCAAAACCACAGCCAGCGGGAGCTATGAGGGCTGAACCAGAACTCGAACACAGGCCTCTTGGTAGATCTGGTGACTAACCACTTCACCACTGGGCCACAGAGCCTTTGAGCTGGAGGAGGCATTTCAAATGAGCACACTCAATAGAGCTGTCCTAGCAATTAATTCGTGATGAGGTGAAGCCAGAACTGGATTCAGAAATGCCTCAATCCTGGGGGCCTGGGAAAGTCTGGTGTCCCTGATAGTGCCAAGGAAATGGACTCCTTCCCATGATATGAACAGCACATTCCCAAGTGGCTTGGATTTCCCTAAGAGGTTGTGCATTGATGTGGAGCAGCCGCCTCCCCAGAGTTGGCAATGCCATGTTGCTGGCTGGTCTCCCTTGCTGACAGCCTCAGGCCCTTCTTGGTGACTTGATGCTCATTGCTCACCCGTGGGACACAAAACTTAGGCTGCCAAGACCAGCCGCCTAGACAAGCCCCCTCGTTATCGTTGAGGCTGGAAAATGACCTCGAGTCTTTCCAAAGCTGTCAAAGTACACAGCAGCTGTGAATGAACCTGTCACTCACACAGCTTGGCTTCCTGAGACCCAGCCTCTGCAAGTGGCCCACCACAGGGCCGCAAACCTGATTAATATCCGTGCAGAAATTGGCCTTGTGAACCGCTTTCATTTATAAGAACACGGTCACATAAAAATGCATTGAACTTTGATTTTTTTAATTGCACAGTGTTTTCCCCTTGGGAAAGTGTAATCATGAAGGAGAAATAAAAATAAAGAAGTGTTACCAATTAATCCTGCTCTGAAATGAGGGATTTCCAAAGCTCCCCCCAGCTCAGGAGTCTTGATGTGATCAAGGCTCACACCTTTTTGACCACTCAAATCTTTTTCTGTGCCAAGACTGTTTTGAGGTTTGGATGTAGTCCTGCGACAGCCTCAAGGTATGGGGCATGGTGGGAGGGTCTGGGTAGTGCCTGGGCGTGTCCCTGACTGTGCCCAATTAGGGAGCTCCTTCTAATTGGCCTTCCTGCTTGAAAGAAGACCGAGCATTTCCCATGTGACTTTGGGTCTCTGTGGCTGTCCCTGCACCAGGCACTGGAGACACAGGGATGAATGTAATGTAGGTCCTGCTCCCTAGGAGCTGTGAGCATGGAAGTCAGGCAGAAAGACTGACGGATGTCTCAGTAGAGGAAAGGCAAAGACTGGAATGGACAAATTAACTCTACTTGAAGGAGCCAGGTGTGGTGCAGGTACAGGTATGGTGGCTCATGCCTGAACTTGCAGCATTCAGGTGGTTGAGACAGGAGGATCACCATGACTTCCAGGACAGCCTGAGCTACACAGTGGAAAAAAGTGTAATGGCACATACCTGTAGTACCAGCTACACAGAGGGCCGAGGCTGGAGGATCGCTTGAGCCCAGACGTTCCAGTCCAGCGAGGGTAACACATAGTGCTAACAGGTTACAGACCCTTTGGTGCACAGACCCACTCCTGCCCCCTCCCCCAGTTGGCCACCCTCCTCTGCATCGCTCTTGACAGAGTTGATAAGCAGCACATGCTGTGGCCTTGCAACTGAGAATCCATTTTCAAAGGAGAGAAAGGAAAATGAAGGCCCTATAGAAAAGGAGGATGTTGAATCAGATAAAGAGCAAATAGGAGTCAGCTGGGGCTGGGGGGCAAGGCGTTCTAGACACGGAAAAACACGAGGAAACACAAGAAAGGATGTGGAGGGGGTGGCCAGGAGCCTTGATCGGACCAGAGAACCTTGTTCAAGGAGAGCCATGAGAAGTTTTGGTGGTATGGGGAGGGTGGTATGGTGAAGAGAGGGTTTGCTCTTGCTCTGGAAGAGCATGGACTGAAGGAGGGTTACGGGAGGAGGTAGGGAGGCCAGCTTGAAGGATATGAAAGCCAGGTGATGGGCTTAGGGATCTCAATGTAGGTAGTAGCTATGAGTTTTTAAAAAATGGATTTAAAAGACAGGACGAAAGTATAAGAAAGGGTAGAAAGAGATCAGCCCAGGCTCCCCAGCTTCCTAGCTAGGTAAATGGAAAGTGAGGCTTCTGTCTAACTTAGTGAAAATGGGAGACGACGTTGAGGACGAAGCTGAGTCTTGGGAACCCATGGAGGAGTGTCCAGGTGGCTTCATTACAGTGAGGCTTGGCAGTGAGTATAAAGTTGAGCTGTATTTTAGGGATCTAGGAGGTAGGTAGGATGAATAAAACTATTAATCGGCCTCTGGCAGCTGAACCCTTGAAACCTGGTTGCTCTGATCTGGGTTTCCGAAGCACTGAAAAGCTCAAGGATGAGGGATGCAACCTGGGATTCTGTCCACACACACGGATGCATTACTGTAATTTACCCCAACAACTAATCTGCGGGAGAACTTATGTGTCGGGCATTTTTCTAAGCACTTTGCATATATTAAACCCAACCTATATCCTCACAATAGTGCTTTGAGATGGTACTTCTATTATTTCCAGCCCCAAACACAAAGAGGTTCATTGTATTGCCCAAGGAGGTATCGATTTGCCACAAAGTGGCTGCTCCTGGCTGACTGTGTCTGTTTGTGTTTAAGATTTTAAGTACTATGAGGATGCTGCTGATGAATACAGGGACCAGGAGGGTACGCTGCTGCCTCTCTGGAAGTTTCAAAATGACAAAGCCAAGCGCCTGGCCGTCACCGCCCTCTGCTGGTGAGTACCGATATTGCAGTGAACCTAGGGCCCCAGAGCAGCCACTGCGTGCCAAGTTCTGAGCCATATGGCCCTTCTGTTGCGCTTTACAACCTGAGTATGACACGTGACAAAGTAGGGGGACAAACAGGACCTGGATTCTTATGGAATTTCAGTGGGTATCTGCAGTAGAGTCAGTCTCCAGTGCCCATGAATGTCCTTGACTGTGGGAGGAGGGCCATGTCTGTTTCCTGTGCCAATGAATTCACAATTCTTTTGCAGGAATCCAAAGTACAAGGATCTCTTTGCAGTGGGACACGGCTCCTGTAAGTGATCGGGTCATTCATTTGTTCACTCATGCAAATGCAGACACTAGTTTCCTAGTCTGTTCGGAGCTTTTGGGCAGGTGTGAGAAATCAGTGATGACCAGGACACAGGCACTGGCCCTCGGAGAGAGCTCACAGTCCAGTGCAGTGGCTCTCAACCTTCACACTGCTGTGACCCTTTAATACAGCTCCTCATGTTGTGGTGGCCCCCAACCATAACAGTATTGTTGTTGCTATTTCATAATTGTATGAATTTTGCTACTGTTATGAATCATAATGGAAATATCTGTTTTCCAATGGTCTTGTGACCCTGTGAAAGGGTCATTCCACCCTCAAGGGGTCACAGCCCACAGGTTGAGAACCACTGTTCTAATGAGATGACCCACTCTCAAATGTGCGATTAGTGCTGGTCAAAAGAATACAGCTAACTATGCCAACCGAACCTCAAAGAGTGAAGGGGAACATTTTGTCGCAGAGACCAGCACAGGCCAAGCCTGCAGGCAGGAGATACGTGCTGGGGTCAGCCCTCAAAGGACCCGGTAAGCCATTCAAGAAGGAAACCACTGAAGGGATTCTAGAAGGGCAGGGACGTGTCCAGTATGGGGAGGAACTGCAGGCCTCGGAGGAGAGCTGGGAGGCCTAGTGCAGGCGTGCCAAGGAGAAATGGAAAGACCTCAGCTACTCCGGAGAGTGGGATGGAGGCCCTCTCCCCGCCTCCTCACCTGGCCTTCCTGACCGGGCCTGAGGCAAGACAGGAGCGAGGAAAGCAGGCAGCTGAAGTTTGTTCTTCTGTTCCTGAGGCACTGGAGACCACAGTGACCTGTGTTCCCGGCCCTGCTGGGACGTGCTTGAGGTGGGAGGCCGCACATGGTGGCACCTGTGTCCACGCAACGTACTGCTCCTTGGGTCAAGCAGACGCCCCCCCCACTGAACTGGATAGTCCCTCTCCTAATGGGAAGGACCCTCCACAGCCGGCCAGGCGCAGCTTCCTAATGCTAACAGCTTGTTCTCTGGCTGGGAGGATTCACTTCTGTGAACAGAAAAACCCTTCCGTTCTCCAAGCTGCTGCTGGCTGGCAGGCATACAAGCTCCTGGTCACTGCCCCTTAGATCGCCCATCCATTCTCTGACCAGGGTAGGGATCCAGGGGGATGGGGATGAGGATGGGGAGGAGTTGGTATCTGTCCTTCCTCTCAGGGAGGAGATCTTGGAGCTGCTCCCGGCCCTGTGGTCTGGGCTGCCTTTGAGGATGCCCTAAATGCCTGCTTTGTGTCCCTACTCCTGAGGGTAGGCTGCTGCCAAATGGGAAGCACCTCCCCCTCTGGCGGGAACTACCAGATTCCTCCCTTCTGCAGCAGCTACCGGGCCTGGAACAGAGCCTGGGGGTTGGGCAGGCCCTCCCAGTAGAGGGTGTGGACCCCCATGCAAGGCCCAGGCCCGCTGCTTGAGACTGAGGTGAGAGTGTGGGAGCCTCCCCAGAAGGTGGAGGAGAAACCCCACAAATGACAGCCCATCTTCTAGCCAGGGTTAGATGCAAGGTCATGTGGAGGCCATCCACTCGAGGTAGCCTCAGTCAGAAAAGGTAATGCCTTCCCCGAGAGAATGGCCTCAAGCTGACAGGCTCTCTGGCCTCCTTTGGGCAAGCCCTGACCTAGGAAATGTTTCTTTGTGTTTCCTTGGACTTCTGAGGCACAGACCCAGTGGTACCCACAGGCAGCTACAGACCTCCCTCTGGAGAACCACTTCTCCGGCTTTCTCGGGAGGAGCAGCCTGCGAGCCCCAGGAGCATTTACACATCCAGGCCAAGAACACGTTCCTGCCTGTCCCCTGCAGACTCCTCAGAGGCCCCGAGCACAGCATGGGAGATGGGACAGAGGCGCTGTTGTTTGCTGGTCAGCCTTCAGGGGATAGGGGATCATCTATGCAGTACCAGCCTCAGGCCTGAGCAGGGCCAGCCAAGGCCGGGCCTTAAATTCTGCAGTGGCTCCTGAGATCACCTGGGGCGTCCTGTGTTCTCAGATGTGTGCTTCGTGCAAGCTGAGGCGGCACCCCGCTTGTGGACGGGTCACCGTGAGGAGCAGCTGGTCTCATCAGCTTCCCTCGCAGTCTTTGAAAGTTCCCAAATACCAACCCCCAGGGGAGAAAATCTGCCCGAAGACAAACACCGAATCAGAATTTAGGTTTATTGCTGAGTTTGATCCTGATAAGCACAGTCCAGGCCTCTTAAGCTTTCTTTCCTCCTGAAATTTAGATGTTTATTCTGTAACCCAGCCACAGAAAAATTACATAGTGTCTTCGTTAGGGTTACTATCGTTGTGGAAAAACACCATGACCAAAACAGTTAAGGGAGGTAAGGGTTTATCTGGCTTACACTTCCATATTGCTGTTCATCACCAAAGGGAGTCAGGACAGGAACTCACACAGGCAGGAACCTGGAGGCAGGAGCTGATGCAGAGCCCATGGAGGGGTGCTGCTTACTGGCTTGCTCCTCGTGACTTGCTCAGCCTGCTTTCTTACAGAACCCAGGACCACCAGCCCAGGAATGGTACCACCTTCATCAATCACTAACTAAGGAAGTGCCCTACAGGCTTGCCTACAGCCTGATCTTCTGGAGGCATTTCCTCAATGGCGGCTCCCTCCTCTCAGCTGACTCTAGCTTGTGTCAAGTTGACGTAAGTCTAGGCAGCACAAGCAGGACAGGCATACATTCTAGGAAGGACTGGGGCCTGTCACATCTTTAGGACACAGTTTCCTGGGGTTAGCTATGGAGCAAGAAGAGGATAGGAAGCCAGGCAAAGTGGCACATCCCAGCACTTGGGAGTCAGAGGCAGGCGGATCTCTGTGAGTTCAAGGCCAGCCTGGTCTACAGAGTGAGTTCCAGGACAGCCTACAGAGAAACCCTGTCTCAAAAATCACCTGAAAGGGTGTGTGTGTGTGTGTGTGTGTGTGTGTGTGTGTGTGTGTGTGTGTTTGTGTTTTTGGCGGGAGTGGGGGTGGGGATCCACATCTGCTTTCACACTATGGCTTCTGGTACCAGCATGCTAGGCTGCTTAAAGCACCGAGAGTTCAGGCTCCACATTCCCAGCTCCGGAGTGAAAGAGGCTGTCCGCAGGTGAAAGGGATGCAGGGATATTGGAGACAAAAGAGTCAGTTCAGGAAGAGACGGTCTCGGAACAGCCGGGATGTGACTGTGCCAGCCTGTGAGACCAAAGGGGTCCGTTCCAGCTCATTAGCCAGCGCATAGCAGGGAAATGGAGACTCCTCGGGGTCTGTCAGGCGGGGATGGCAAAGCAGATTCCAGAAACTCTGTGTGGTCCCGAGGCTACCCCACAGGAGATGAGGCAGGGAGCGTCCCAGCAGGTCCCCTATTGGAAGGGCAAAGGAGCCAGCTGTCCTGCCCAGTCCTTCTCCGGGGCAGCACCTCAAAGGAGACCAACAGCAGCCCTACAGTCCAAGCACTAAACTCATTCCTGCCCGGTCCCTTGAACTTGCCCAGGCCAGAGATACACTCATAAGGGCTTAAATCTTTCCCGATCATTTATTTGTCAGCTTCACTAATTAAGCCGTGTTAATTTCATTTACTGAAAATGGAAATTCATCCACCTCATTTCTCCCTGTTCACCCTCCACACACAGAATCCATCACTCCTTAGCTGCAGGCTGCGTAAAATTTACAGGACTAATTATGTTGTCAGGTCTCTTTGTAAATACAGTCCATAAAGGCCACCAGCTTGCCGGGTTGCAGTGCAAGGGCATTTCGTTGTTAGTTTAATTACTGGTTAGTTATTTAGGTTCTCAAATGTTTGCCTCATTTTCCCTAAATCAAATTAAATGTCCCAATTGATGTATTCTGTCTCCAAGGCCTTGCTCTTCTTTCCCACACTGTTTAAATACAACTCCCAATCTGACAAGGATGCCTAGGAAAGCCCATCCATCGCCTGAGAGCCCGAGCCCGGCTTGTCTGGTGCCTCCGGCCATGCCTGAGGTTTGGAACTTTCCTGGGATCAAGACCCTTTTCCATGGCAGCCTTGGGCCGGTCCTCTGCCTGTGGAAATCCCAACACACAAGGGGGCATCTCTGTTCCCAGAGTCGGAGGCGGCGGAGTGGGGGGCGGGGTGGGAAATGGAGAGAGTTGCACTGCTGTTATCAGAAGGGCTGAGGATCGGGGCGGCCATTCGGCTGACGTCTAGAACTGCTTCTGTATCACCCAGGAAAAGGTGTCGTTGCTCTGGCTCCTAAAATTAGCGTTGGGCCGCCCTTCCCGCAGGCCTCTGATGTTTGGTTCCCGTTGCTGCAGCAGCCGAGAACCACAAACACAATGGCTTAAGCACCACATCTCTCCTGAGCTCTGGAGGCCAGACTCGCAAGATGGATTACACCGAGTTAAAATCAGGTGTCAGCAGGACTGTGTTCCTTCTGGAGGCCCCCCAGGGAGCACCTGTTTCTTTTTCTGTTTCCAGCTTCTAGTGGCTGCCTGCATTCCGTGGCTCGTGGCCCCCTTCCAGCCAGCAACTGCATCACCCTGACATCGGCTTCTGCCGTCATGTCTGAGTCTCTGACTCGCTTGCCGCCTTCTTTCCCTTATAAGAACTCTTACGATTACATCAATCCCCCCGGATAATCCAAGATAATCTCCCCATCTCAAGGTCTTTAACTTAATCACATCTGCAAAGTCCCTTTTGCCATACAAAGTGACATATTTATAGGCCCCAGGGATTAGGATGTGGACATTTGTGGGGGGGCATTATTCTGCCTACTCCACGCCCCCTCCAAGTGCCTCCTGCATGACTTAATAAGGGAGTCATCGAACAGCTGCTGCCTTGGAACCGGTCCTAGGCTGGCCTTGTTTGGGATGCCGCAGTACGAGAAGACGCCTGCCAGCCAAGGCTGGCATGGTATCTTTGTCTCTGCAGTTGGCACCTACTTCCTAATGACCACTGACCTGGTGTTAGCCTGGTGCCCCAACATGCCCTCCACCTGCCATGCTCTCCGTGAGTCCGGAGTAGTTCCTCTGCAGCCAGAATGCTCTCCAGTGCCCACCCCTCAGAACCCAGAGCTGCACGGGACAGGGCTGGTAGTTGTGGGTCTGGGGCCCCCAGCGATAGGTTCCGGTTTAAGAAGATGATGATCTGTGTTGCTCACTGGATACTGTTCTGCCAGGGCTCCAGGAGCTGAGCTGAAGACAGTCAGAACTTTGGTCTACGGTAGAATTAAGACAGGTACATGAGGCCAGGCCTAGTGGCCTAGACATTGTAATCCCAGCTACTCAGGAGGCTGAAGCAGGATGGCAAGGTCATGGCCTGCTCCAGCCACAGAGTAAGTTTCAGGCCAGCCAGGGCAACTTAGTGACATCCCTGTTTCAAAAGAAAAAATAAGAAGAGAGCTAGGCTCAGTGGTGTAGTACTTGCCTAGATTGGGTCCCCAGTAAGAGTAGCTGTCTGTCTGTCTGTCTGTCTGTGTCTGTCTCTCCCTCCCTCCGGCTCCCTGAGATGGTGATTTTAGATGATAAGGCTCTATCAATAGGGGTTGATTCTCCCCCTGAAAACCTTGAGGATCACCAATGGGAGCCTCAGGGAGGCCAGGGGGACTGAACAGCAGTGGGGTTAGCAGGAAACAGACTCGGTCACCAGGAAGAACGAGATGTGTGCCGAGACGTGTTCCATCTTTACCTTCATCTTTTTCCATGCTTCATACTGATGGTGGGAAACAGCACTTTCTCAGAAGCCAGAGCCCTGGTAGCTGAATGTTCTGGAAGGATTCCCAGAGACTATCAAGACTAGTGGACTTCCTCACTCCTAGACCTTTCCCCTCCCTCTGTTCCACTGTCCGTTATACCTAGCTGCATGTACTTCCTGAAATCTCTAATTTTTTTCATTGGCCCCAAACTAGAGTCTTTGCCTTATTATACAAAGGGAAAGCTAGGTGACTCCCATCTGGGGTCACTGGAACTAGAAAGTCTGTGGCATTAAGAGCAAAGCACCCCCAGGAGAGAGATCCAAGGCTTCCGATCTCATTGGTAACTGAGGCACTACGTGATCCTAATGTCATACTGAGACTCCTGGTGACTTGGTTCGTGGTATCCTGGGAATGTTGGGCAGCTGAGCAATGACATCATCGGGCTTCTGGTGCCCTGGCTGATGATATCATTCTAAGATGTTTGGATGATTGGGCAATGATGACACTAACAGATGACGCCACGTGAGGACCATTCGTGGTTTGAGTAGTAATGTTGTCATTTAATGGTTTCTAGATAAGATGAGGATATCATGTGGGGTTGGAGCTGTGATGTCACACTGGGTAGACGTGTAAAGTGGAATCACGAGAACTCAACGAGCCACTGAGGTCAGGAATGAGGCATTCACAGTACAAGAGTCAAGAGGAGACCCCAGTCAGATGAGGTTTCTTTCTGCTTTCTCGAAGTATTTGACAAAAGGAGCCTTGAACTAAAAGTCACAAAACACATACTCTAACCAGGACTAGCAATTGTGCACCGTATCAAGGAGGACTCCCTTTTGGTGGTGGCGATGGGGTTGAGATAGGGTTTCCCTGTGTAGCCCTGGCTGTCCTGAAACTTTCTCTGTAGCCCAGGCTGGCCTCCAACTCACAGAGATCCGCCTGCCTCTGCCTCCCAAGTGCTAGGATAAAAACGTGCATCACCACTGCCTCGAAAAACACCACCTCACAAAGAGGACTCCTTTACTTGGAAGTGACAGAGACCTCCAAAGCCAGGTGGAGGAAGTGGGACTGAATCCCAGCATGCACTTGACCACCACACTAGTGTCATTGGTTGTTCTTTGTGGACCTTATCCATGACATCTGCTTCTCTCCACACAGCCTCTCCCTCTATCACCCTTCACTGCCTGTGCCTCACACACTGTCGAGTCCAGAACCGGAGGTGTGTATTGGCTTTGCCAATAACCACCACACTATGCTGGCTGGCTCTGCCCCTTCCTCTGTCCTTTTCCATGTAAAGACCAAATTACCAGGCCTGGCAAGATGGCCCAGCAGGAAAGGTGCTTGCCACCAAGTTTGACAAACGAAGCCATATTCCTGCAGCTCAGAGTAGAAGGAGAGAAATGACTCCCACACATTGTCCCCTGCCTTCCACATGCTTGCCATGCATGTGAGTGCCTCCACACACACAAGTGAATAAATAAAAACAACTTCAAAGACCAGGTTAGCAGAGAAAGAGAAGTTCAGCTATTGAAAGGATACCATGTGGCATGTATTAGGCATGCAAGTAGACCATTTCCCCTTGGAGACCCAGTTTATCCATGTATTAAGTTAGTAGGCCCTAATGGCGGCTTCTTGTGCCAGTGATTCAGCAAATCGGTCAGAGTTACTAAGTAGCCTAGGGCTCCCTACCCACCTTTCCTGGCTTCAGTGGTTGTGAGCACTGCGTGGAGTTTGTCTAGAGAAAGGAGCTCATCACCGCTGCCTACCAAGGGGCCAGGCCCAGGGTGCTGCACTCAGCCTCACCCACCATTGCTTCAGGCTGCGGTTGCCGCTCTTGCCTGCCCCGCTCATACCCTGTGTCAGTCTTCTAGTATGGAGGACAGATTGGAATCAGAAACCCCAGTGGCTCCCCTCCAGCTGGTGACCTTGCAGGGCGAACCAGGAGCAAAAGGGTGGGAGGTAGGGAGAGGCAGGCCAGGTGCTCAGGGTCTGCTTGATGAACCCGAGGAGCAGCAGTGGCCATTTCTAGCCCTTCAAGAATGGCAATGGCCTTGACCAGATCTAGATCTCTTCCCTTGGAGAACTAATCCTGGGGGCCCACCCAGAAGCTCACAGATGGGCATACTGCCAGCTCCTCCCCACCTACTTCAAGGCAACCCCCCCTGCTGTGGCTTTGGCTTCAGGGTGTAGTGGGGTATCCACCAGAGAAGAGTGCTTGGACGTGGGTTTAAGCCGATAGAAAGTCTTAGCTGGCAGGTCACTGCTACACTGGATGCTCAGGATCCCAGGGTGGTACCAAGTCTTTCTCAGGGTGAGCTTTAGGCACAAAACCCATGTCCTGGGTTGACGCACCTCAGTAGCTAGAAGCAGAACCACAGAAGCTAAAGAGCAAGGTTAGTACATTCAGAGACTTTCCCAGAACTCTGGACTCTGGCAGATCAGATCTTTGTTTTAGTTTTGGCAGGTGGAGCTGTCTACGTGCTGAGTTTTATGGCCTGAACGGCACCTCCATCACTTGGGCTAAGGCCTGGCCCTGTTACAAGGGGATCTTGAGGCCCCAAGCTCGCTTCCCCTAGGACAGAAACATTTTCCTTCCTGCGCCACCTTCTCCGTGGCTCGGGCTGGACCCTAGAAGCTCCCACTGTCAATGTGGCTCCTCCCCGCATGCAGGGAGTCTAGAGAAGGTTCCTGAACAAAGCCTCAGGACTAGTGATGATTCATCCCAGCAAAGGAAGGTGGGCTTTTCCATAAGCCTGGTCTTTGCAGAGTCTCTGGGTTGGCAATACCTGGGGTGATAATGGCTGAGGTCATGTCCTGAGTGAGTCCAGGGACTATGTGGGATGCCTTAGAAATGAGACAGAGAGAAATGACTAACCCAAACTCATCAAGCTGGCCTTGTTTTCCATATCTTCCCCACACCACTGAACACCTCAGGACTGGCTACTTTGCAGTTCATGGCCAGGCTCTGCAGCCATTAGGCTAGAGGAGGAAGCCCTGGAACAGGGAAAATGGAAAGGTCAAGGCTGCCTGGGGTAGGATGTACAAGATGGAGGACCGCACTAGTAGTCTATCTTCTATCTTTCCAGCTCTGGCTCCTTGAGCTTGGCAAGGCTGGAGGTCTGGACAGCAAGAGAACTGGACGTGAGGGCTGGGTCTATGTGCTGCCCAATAGTCGGGTATCTGGATAGTCACTGCGAATGCAGGGGATGACGTGGGCAGGTTGGGAAGAGGACCTTTGCTGAGTGCTTCATCATTGATCACCAAGATCTGCTCTTGGGCTGGGTGGGCCTGTGGAAGCCTGACCTGCTTGGCTAGAGACTTCCAGATACTGGAGTTCTGCTTAGTGCCCGAGCACAGCTCCTCTTGGGAACTGTGGGGTGAAGTTACGAGGAGATGCTTACAGGTGGCCAGCATGGGCTGACCTCAGACAACAGCATGCCTTTGTTGCTTTGTCCTGCTTGCTGAGCTGGAGACCGAAATCGGGGCTTTGTGTACCCCCGCCCCGTCCTGTTCCTCTTCTCCCTCTCTCCTCTCCCCCTTCCTGCCTCTCCTCCTTGCTCTCCTTCCCCTCTCCTCTTAACTAAATTTCCTAGGCTGGCCTTGAACCTGCAATCCTCCTGCCTCAGCCCCCCCTAAGTGTGTTGGGACTATAGGCCTATATCACCATGCCTGATTAGACAACAGCATACACTAGTTCATGCTTAATTCCTGTCCTTGGCTGAAGATTGGGAGGAACGTGGGTATCTGGGTGTGTATTGTACAGCAGCCTGCCCCTAACCTGGGTATCCGAACCCCTGCTGAGGATACTCCTGCTGAAATCCACTCCCATTCTGCAAACAGCAACTGCTTGAGCTTGCGCGCCCCTGTTCTGTGCCCTAGAGAGAATAGAGGGTGACTGTTGATGACTGGCCTAGTCACCTTTTCCAGCTGTTGGATCGATCTGTCCATCAGAGGAGAGGGCCAAACTCACACTTCCACTTCATAGTCACAGAAGGAAGGCCAAGAGGCCTCCCCTGTTCTCTGGCCGGCACAGCCAGGTGGGGCCTACTCATCTGGTGGGGTGCAAGCAAGGGGGCTCCCCTGGCAGAACAGATGGGCCGCCTTCATCTGCGGTCTCCCGTCTCCCCTGGGCAGATGACTTCATGAAGCAGAGCCGGGGCATGCTGCTGCTCTACAGCATGAAGAACCCCAGCTTCCCCGAGTACATCTTCAGCAGTGAGAGCGGCATCATGTGTCTGGACATGCACGGAGACCACCCCTACCTGGTGGTTGCGGGCTACTACGACGGCAACGTGGCCATTTACAACCTCAAGAAACCTCATTCGCAGCCCTGCTTCCGTAGCACCTCCAAGTCTGGCAAGCACACGGACCCTGTGTGGCAGGTCAGCCCAGGACCTGGTGGGAAGAGCATGTGGGCTCCGGGGCCACGCATGAGGGACCCTGGGGAGGAGAAAACCACGCGCAAGGGGCTGGGGACGGCAGGGATCCAGCCCAGGATCTGGACATGAGAAGGGACGGAGAAGGGCAAACGTGAGACTCTGGAGTTTTCTTTTAGAGCTGGAGTCTATGGGAGGGGGTGGCGCACGCCCCAAATCCCAGCACTTGGGAGGCAGAGGCATGGAGTTCTCTGAGTTTGAGGACAGCCTGGTCTACAGAAGGAATTTCAGGATAGCCTGGGCTACACAGAGAAACCCTGTCTGGGGGAAAACAACAACAACAAAACAAACAAACAAACACACTACAAAGAGCTGGCGTCTGCTGCCCATGAGTTCCATCATGAAGACCTTGACTGTCTGCCAAGACTCACTCGCTGATGTCATCAGTACCTCAGCAGCCAGAGCTGACACCTCCAGGACTTCCGGTTCCGGATCCTTACCTATAAAGTTCCGGTACCCAAAAGGACCTTCCTCTGCCACCTGAGCAAGATTTGGGGATGTTCCCAGATAGGAATGGCACTGCCTGTTGCATGCCCTCTGGGGGGCGCTGGAGAGTCTGGTGGGCAGTCTGTTCTTGAGTCGAGTTGTAGCATCCCTCTCTCTCGACAGGTTAGGCAAAGCTTCTGTCTCACTCAGAGAGCAGGCCATCTCCACTGTGTCCCAAAGGCTCCACCTCTTTAAGCCATGGAGCACCCTCATGGGCAGGTCTGAGAGAATCTGAGGTTGGATTTCTGCCTCAAATTCCCCCAAGTCTCTGGTCTCTTCAGGCAATACTCAGGGCTCTGTCTTCCTCTGCCCTTGTGCCCCAACCATCTTTATGCAGGTGTTTTGTGCTCACCTCTTCTGGCCCTGAGTCCATTGCCCCCAGCACGGGATATGCACTCCAGATAGGCCAGATCGGAGAGTAGGCTTCCTAGGCCCTGGGGACATGGCACCTCTCAGCCTCAGCTTTTCCCCAGAGCCTGGGGCAAATGGTGTCAAAGAGGAAGCCCTCAGCCACGTACCTTTCTGATCTCACTCTCTACAAAGCAGGGCCGAGAGGTTCTGTCCACCCGAAAGTCCACATCCCAATTCATCATCTCCATACACATGGAACTCTCCAGTAATGAAGAGGATGTCACCAAAGGCTTCAGAGCCCTTGACCCTGCTCCCCAGCCTAGACAGCCCAAGGCCAAGCATGAAGCATCCATAGTTGACTTGACCACCCTCCCCCTCCTCAAATCCAGGATTGTGGGGTCGATCCCGACCAAGCACCCTGTTCCTCCTCTGCCATGTTCTCTAAATCAAATAGCAGGGTGCAGAGTCGTCCCGGAATACTCAGTTTACCTGGACAGGGTGGTCTGCTCTCCTCTGTCCTGCCAGGAAAACAGGGCAGCTATCTTTCTTTGCAAAATCCAGGCTCAGGCTACCGTCATGGCCCGGAACCTGAGAGGAGCCATCTGTCACTCATCTATCCACTTCCTGTTTCCTTCTTTCCTCTCATCCCCTCCATCATCCATCCATCCATTAACTCCGCCCTGTTTGCTCCTGTAGTGGCTGAGAGGCTGAAGGGCCTCTGGGGGCAGGCAGACCTCTCCGTGCTGAATGTGAGCATGCAGAGAGCTGAAGGCCAGAGGCCACGAGCTCTTTCTAGAGGAAATAACCTCTGATCTGGATTTTTGTTTTATTCTATTTTTTTGAGACGGAGTCTCCCTGCATCGCCCTGGTTGTCCTGGAACTCACTGTGTAGACCAGCCCATCCGTGAACCCACAGAGATCCTCCTGCCTCTGCCTCTGGAATGCTGGGATTAAAGGTGTGCGCCACCGCACCTGGCTCCTGATCTGGATTTTAAAGGATGTCACTGTGACAAAAGGAGTCCCTGGCAATAATAAAGGGCCTCAAGCATAGTGACCCTCTGGGGAACAGGACATCATTCAGAGCATGTGAAGGGGGGGAGGGAAGAGCTGAGGAGGGGCAGGCACCCAGGCGGGAGTGTGCTTAGCTTGGGCATTACACATCAGTGTTTTCAAATAAAAGCACAATATACAGATGAGAGCAGAACTGCTCTGACAAAGCCAGGGCCTCGCTTTCCTACCGGTCGGTCCCCGTTGTCCTCTCTGCTGCCTCTTGCGGTTCTTCCTGGGGGGCGGGGGGCGGGGCGGGAGGGGGGCTAAGACATCCTATGAGCGTAGTTGGAAAATCAGAATCATCGGAGGATTCGGGTGGAGGTGTAACAGTCACGACAGTGGTTTGGAAAGGCATCTGGCTACAGCATGAAAACTTTTGAAGGCTGGGGAAGGGCAGAGGTAGTGGAGATGGAGATGTGGACATGGGGTGGGAAGCTGCTGGGGCAGGGGCATCAACAGAAGGAGTTGCTTAGACATGGGGAAAGGGAAGAGTCGTGTTGCTGGGATTCGGGGTGCCCAGTCGGGCATCAGTAGATGTGGGAAATGGCAGGGAGGAACCTGTGTGACCAGAGATGAACAGAAAAGGCAGAGGGGAAGCTGTGCTATTAGAACCCTGGGGCTTTAAGACAAGCCTGACTGGTTGAATGAGATGTCCAAGACCTAAGAACCAGGTCCTTCTTAAAGGGACTGTGCTGTGTGTCTGGACACAAGACTTCGTTATGGACTCAGTCACCAGTCTGGGGCAGTCTGTTGTGTTGGCCACTGGAAGCCACAGGAGGCTGTGAAGCCCGGGCTTTAAGACTGCTCCTGTCCTATAGTGCACAGGCTCCTTCCCTAGGTGGCCCGCATGGGTGCCTGAGCCCTGATCAAACCCTACTGTGAAGCCTTAACCAGAAACACTCCGTGCTGTACAGTTCCAGAAAGGGAACAGGAAGAAAGTATGAGGAGAGACTGGTCCAGCACTCTGTCATGATCAGATAAGGGGGAGAAGAAGAAGAATTCTGTGCAGTGCTCCCCACACTGGTCCCTGGGTGCTCACTGATTCTCTGGACCCTGTTGGTAAACCTTCCCTCTCCACTTTATCCCTTCCCTCTCACCTCCACTGTAAGAGTGCGTGTGTAATTTGCACACACACACACACACACACACACGCACACACACACACACACACACACTGGGCATGAAGCTGCTAAGTGGGGTGTGAAATACAATTTCCATGAGTGCCGGCGTCTGCTCATTAAACACTTCCCTTTGCAGCTCCCCTGCGCCTCTTACAGCCTGGCCTTTGACATCTTTCGTCCCCTCCCCCCTTTAAAGGGACCGTGTTTGCTCAGAAGGGGAAGTGGGCTCAAGATCCATCCATATTGTGCGTTACCGCCTCTGCAGCCTCCTGGCCTCCCCGAGAAAGCAAAAGAGAACCCGCTACCCAGACAGGCCCAGGCAGGACTCAGCCTTGCCTCCTGCAGCGACTCCAATCTGATTCACCAGGCCTAGGGGCTGGATGGAGACACACACACACACACACACACACACACACACACACACACACACACACCAGCAGCCATGGTGACAGCTGCGGTTGCAGGCAACAGCAGTTACAGGCAACAGGCCTGGCTTCTTGGCCTCCCTCTCTGGACCTCAGCTTGTGACAGAGGGAGGGGACTGGACAGGGGTCCCAGCATGGGGGGTCTGGAGGGAGTCGGAGGATGGAAGGCTCTGGGCACCCAGCCCCACCCCGGCTTTCTGGGACTTGGCTTGGCCAAGCCTCCACATCTGGCAACAGAAACTCGAGCCTCAAGCGTGTCATCTTCATAAGACAACAGCTCTGTCTCCAAAACACTTTCCCATATGTTTGCTTCCAGCCCTGAGAAGACGGGTGGGGCAGGATAATTAACCCGGATTTGCAGATGGAGAAGTGCAGCTCAAATCTGGGATTTGGGAGCAAGATTCTGGGAGCAGGAGCTGGTGTCGGTTTGAAGGTGGGAACAAAGGAGACTTTCAAGAGAAAGGCCGAGCCTAGCAGAGGGGACCGACTCCCTCCCCTCACCCACTGAGCAGGGAACAAGCCCTACAGAAGCTTGCAGCCCACCTTCCTAGGACGATGGTGGTAATGAGGATATTAGCTAGCTAGAGATTTTGTTCGCTTTTGAGACAGGGTCTTGCTGTTTAGCCTGGGCTGGTTTAGAACTCATGATCCTCCTGCCTCAGCCTTCTGAATGCTGGGAGTCAGTTCACACAATGTCATCAAACTGAAGGTGTGGCTGCATTAGCTGGTATTTTTTGAACATTTACTATGGGCAGTGTTCTGAAGATTTTACACACACTTGATCTTTTTCTTCTCACATGTTCTCATGACTTCCATTTCCTAAGTGAAAAACTAGTTGTGGGGCTCTGACCTTTCCATGGCTGTGTGGGGAGATTAAACCCAGAACCAGAACTTCCCATAACTAGACTGCTAGAACCGAACACAGAAAGAAATTGGGTACCACTACTGCCAAAAGCGCATCCTAGGGCAATGCTCTGGCTGATACTGTGGCCCCCAGGTTGGAAACGGAGCTGAGTGAAATGAGACTGGGAGGTCTCACTATAGAGTTCTGGAAAATGGGCTCCCAGAAACTTCTAGCTGAGCCCCGGATGGGTACATGGGGTGCCCCGCCTGCCGCCCTAACTCAACACCCTGACAGAGTGGCTTGTGATATTTCAGGTCAAATGGCAGAAGGACGACATGGACAACAACCTTAACTTCTTCTCTGTGTCCTCTGACGGCAGGATTGTGTCATGGACCCTCGTAAAGGTGCCTGTTTCCCAGATAAGGGTCGTGGAGGGGTGAAGTGGGAGGAGCTAGATGGCAAAGAGCTACTGAACCAACCAATCCCCCCTCCCCGGTCCCCATCCTCTCTGACTGCAGAGTGAGCTGGTTCACACGGACGTCATCAAGCTGAAGGCAGAGGGGAGCAGCGCCACAGATATCCCTGAGGGGTTGCAGCTGCACACTGTAGGTAGGAACCCCAGCCCTCACACCTCCAGCCTGATGAGACCCGTTCAGCCCCAGCACCCCAGGATCAGTGACAGTGGCCATTTACCTTCCCAGCGCTCTCCCCTCCTTTGTACCGGAGCCTAGACTGGAGGAGACAGAAAAGCCCAATGTTATGGGCGGGGCCCTTGACCATTGGCACACACCGCTCTTCAGGCAGGTCCCTTCCCATGTGCAGACCCTGCTCTTGTTTATGCAGATCAGGTGCTGCTCTGCAGATCCATCCCTGTTTATGCAGATCTAAGCCCTGTTTACCCAGATCCTGTCCCTGTTTACTCAATTCCTACCCTGTTTATGCAGACTCTATCCCTGTTTGCACAGACCATGTCCCTGTTTGCAGACCCCCATCCCTGTTTACTGTGACCCTGACCCTGCTTAACTCAATTCCTGCCTTGTTTACCCAGTCCCCCATTCTTGTCTGCAACGTCCTAACTGCCTAGGGCAAGCGAGCCCGTGGTCCAGTTTCTGTTTCCCTGGCCCGAGCCCAGCCTTTACAGCCTAGTTCTTTTTGTCCTGCACTGGGCTGGGTGGGAGGTTCCCTGGGAGAACCAGGCTAAGTCTGGCCCTCTTCTTCCTAGGCTGTGGCACTGCCTTTGACTTCCACAGGGAGATCGACTACATGTTCCTGGTGGGCACAGAGGAGGGGAAAATCTACAAGGTGAGGCAGCATGCCCGTCAGCTCCTCACAGGGCCACGTGGACCTAAGCACCCAGGGAGGGTGTAGTATTCAACACATCCCCTTCTGACACCATCTAGTGTTCACTCTTCTGGAAGCCTTTTGTGGGGGAGAAGAATGCATTTCTTTTTTTAAAAGTTCTTTTTAATTGGTGTGTGTGTGTGTGTGTGTGTGTGTGTGTGTGTATTTTGTGAACACTCATGTCATAGTGTGCATGTGGAGGTCAAAGGACAACTTTGTGGCCTGTGGGGCTCTAACTCAGGTCTTCAGGTTTGGTGGCAAGGACTTTCAGCCACTGACCGTCCTGCAAGCTCTTTTTTTTTTTTTTTTTTTTTTAATTTATTTATTTCTTTTTTTTTTTTTTTTTTTTTAATTTATTTATTTAGTGGTGGCGTTGGGGACACATGCACGCCACAGTACATGTATGGAGCTCAGCAGATAGCTTGTGCTTTTCCAAAGGTTGAACTCAGGTCACTGGGCTTAGCAGCAAGCGCCTTTATTTGCTGCGCCATCTCACCAGTCCAGGAATGCACGAGTGCCTTGGTCTGCTGGGCGGCAGGAAGAGAGGCTGCAGCCTGGGAAGGTGATGGAGAATCTGGAGAGTAGCTTGAGCCAGTCTCTTTCCTCCTCTCCTAAGAGGCAGACATGGGAGTAGGGGAGTAGGGGCTTGGGGGAAGCGAGGCCATTCTGGGCAGACTTCCTGGAGGAGATCTGAACTGGAGCCCGGCTTTGAAGGCCAGGTATCCAACAGAGTCATCTCCGAGGATGAGGTACACAGTCGCCAGCAGGACACAGCCTCCCGGCCGGTTTTCCGCCGCGTTGTCTCAGTGTTAGTAGGTGAACATCCCTCTGAACCTCCATCGTCCAGAAATAGCTTTGCTGTGAGCTTTTCTTAGGCTCAGAGACTCAGAATGTTAATTACAGACAGCCTCCCGGGAGCCCCAGAGGCCCAGCCCGAGTTGGTCTGAATGCAAAAGAGGTCCCCACCCCCTCTCCACCCCTCCCTGTGGCTGCTGGAGAGAGGCAGGGGAAGGAAAGACTGGCCACTTTGTCTCCTGGAGGGAAGGGGAGAGGCTTGCTGGCCAGGGCAGACACTGAATGGGAGATCTGAGTCGGCTCCTGGCTCCACACCTGCTCTTACCTGTACAAGGCCGGGCGCTGCTTACTGTGGCCTGGATGATGTCTGAGCTGCAGTAAACCCGTGGCTCTGTCTACCAAGGCTCTAGCGTGGACAGGAGATCAGGCTGTGCCCCACCCTTGCCCGGGGCGTGAGACCCACTTTGCCTTGCAACAGAAAGAGGTCACTTTCTGGTCAGTCACTTCCTTTCACCCTCCAGGAGGGCTCCGTGCCCAGCCCAAACCCCAGTCCTTCAGTGCTTCCTCTTCCTTTGGGAGTTGGGGGGGGGGCATGCGCAGATGGACAGACAGGCTCAGGTGCTGGTCCTCTAGGGCCCCTTGGGAAAGGTTGCCGCTGACTTTTCTCTCACTGTTGATCTCAACCTTCCTGAATCACCCATCCTCTTCCCTTCCATAGTGCTCTAAATCCTACTCCAGCCAATTCTTGGACACCTATGATGCTCACAACATGGCCGTGGATGCTGTGATATGGAACCCATTCCACACCAAGGTCTTCATGTCCTGCAGCTCTGACTGGACCGTGAAGATCTGGGACCACACCATCAAGTGAGGGGCCTGCCTTGGCCCTCCCCTGCCCCAGGCCCTCCCCTCGGCTCTGGCACTATGAACCCTCTGCGTCACCAGCTTGACCTTTTTGCCACTGCAGGACCCCCATGTTCATTTATGACCTGAACTCAGCCGTGGGTGACGTGGCCTGGGCACCATACTCTTCCACGGTGTTTGCAGCGGTCACCACAGATGGGAAGGTGAGTAGTCCTTTCTCACCCTGCGGAGCCACCATGGAGACCAGGAGGTGTCTCAGGGGCTCTTCCTAGAGAGCCCACCACATGCCACCCCAGGTCAGTAGGGGTGATGAGACAGAGGACTATGTATTTTAAAGGCCAGACTACGCAGGGAAGTGTGGGGGAATTCTTCATCACAGGGGGCCTCACGGAAGAACAGGCCCTCTGGGGAGCTGAGATGCCATCCAGAAGTTGTCTTCCTTGAGGTCCCTGTGAGTGGGTTAGAGGATGCCTAGCCTCTGGGCCAGTCACTGGTCTGTAAGGTAGTGAGCCAGCCACCCCCCTCCAGAAGTGTCCATGGATCAAGTGTTGATAGCAGCAGCATTATTCATAAGTCCAAAAGTGAAAGAAGCCAGTGTCCATCAAATCATGAACAGCGAACAGTGCAGTGTACATGCAAAAGGATCACATTCAGCAGACAAGGAACACATATGATAACATAGATGGGCATGAAAAGCTTATGCTAAGTCAAACAGGCCAGACACACAAAAGAACAAATATCTGGTATGTCCAAAACAGATGTGCACCGTATGCATCGTGTCAAGAGACAGATCTATACAGATACAGAGTATATTTGTGATTGCTTCAGATAGAGGGGTTGAGAAAAAAATGGGGGGGGGGTGACTGTTAATGAGTACAAAGTTTGCCTTGTAGGTGAAAAAAACACACTCTAAAATTGGTTGTGATAATGGCTTGAAAAGTGAATATGCTTAAAACCAAGAAGTGTATGCGTTAGGTTCGTTAAATGGATGAACCTTGTAGTATGTGACTTATTACCTCGATAAAGCGTTATATCAGAGGAAGCCAGGTTTGGTGGTACATGCCTGTGCCTATAATCCCAGCATGCAGAAGGAGGAAGCCGGAGATCAAAAGTCTGAAGCCAGTCTGCATTGATGGCAAGTGCCAGCAGGCCAGACTGAGCTACCCAGCAAGCCCCTGGGGTGGTGGTGGGAGCCAGGCGGTTTCTGAGGAAAGGCCTCTTGGATGAGGTGACTCAAACTGGGAGCTAACAGACGAGCACTAGCCTTTAGCCTTTTCCTTTTTTCTGTTTGAGACAGGGTCTCTCTATTGTTTCATCCAGCCTGTCCTCTTATGTAGCCCAGGCTGGCCTCGAACTCACAGAGATCCATCTGCCTCTGCCTCCCGAGTGCTGGGGTTAAAAGTGGGGGCCCCTGTGCTCTGTAGGAGCAGCATTATGAAGATGAGGTGGAGAAGCTGTGTAGTGGGCAGCAGGACTCCAGTGTTCTGAGGTGTGAATGGGAATGAGTCCAGTCTTAGGAACTGAGGCCACACGCCTGGGCTCAGTCAGCAAAGGCAGGGGGCTTGGGATGAGAGGAAAGGACATGGGCAGTATATGGAATTTGGCTCCAAGGAGGCTGAGAGAAAAATTTTAAAGGGAAGCCGAGGTACAGCATGGAGGATGGATTGTGGATGGGCAAGAGCAGAAGCAGGATACTGCTAGCTGTCACAGCAGGAGCTGATAGTGATTTGGACTCCCGGTGAGGCAAAGATAATATCAGGCATTATTGGGCACTTAGGCATCAAACTCTGAGCACTTTGTATTTATTAGCTGGGATAAACCCCTGGCTCCGCCACTTACAAGCAAGTTAGCCTCCAACGGCCTCCAAATCCTCATTTATAAAATAGGGATAGTAACAGAACTGCCATATGGAGTGGTTGTGAGGGGTATAATTAGATGATCCAACCTTGTAACACTCCTGCCCAGAGCCTGGAACATGGTAAGTATATTAGACTGGATAAATGGTAGCTGCCATTATTGGTTCTTTTTATATGGCTTTGGGTTTCTTTGTGGTATTTTTATACATACATGTCGTTATAATTTGTTCCGTCTTCTTCCCTCACTGTGCTCTCCATCCCTCTGATCCCCCTTGCCTGTTCCCTTTGTCCCCTCCAAGCGTCCCCCCCCCCGCCCCCCCGCTTTCATGTCACATACATACATCCCATAGCGGCTATTGTTATTTAGTCTGCATAGACTTAAGATTTCTAAACTTTTTTATCCTCACTCCCTCATCATGGGAGGAAAGCACGCTGACATAAAGACCCTTCTGCGGTCGCTAGCTCGGCCGTGCTGACCGTCAGCCTTCTGTAGGGTTTCCAGAAAGCCCGAGGTGGGAGACCAGGGCCCCGTTCTCCCGACTGATGACGCTAGCCTCTCCGTAGGCCCATGTGTTTGACTTAGCTGTCAACAAGTATGAAGCTATCTGCAACCAGCCTGTGGTGGCCAAGAAGAAGAACAAGATCACCCATGTGCAGTTCAACCCCATCCACCCCATCATAATTGTGGGCGATGACCGTGGGCACATCACCTGTCTCAAGCTCTCTCCCAACCTGCGAAAGATGCCAAAGGTATGGGCTCCGGGAGTCCTAGCTGCCATCAAGAGATGGGGGGTGATGGGGGGAGCCAGGGGCCACCCCAAGTTTCTGGCTTGAAGGATTCGAGGTAAGGATGGTATCGGTGCCTGAATGAGGAGGCTGGGGAAAAGGTTTGTGAAGTAACAGATCAGTTTGACCTGCTGCATCCTGTAGGGTGCGGGGGTGATTTCCAAAGAGTAAGTGGCCATGGAACATGGGGGAGGCAAGCGCCATTGGCTTACCGGAAGTGCAGGATGTTGGGACAGGTCACCAGGAGAGGCACTCAAGCCTTAGCTGACTCATTGCTGCTGGGCTTACATAGAGTTTCAGCTCCAACGGTCCCTGAACTGGGAGCTGTGAGTCTCCCCAGGAAGGAGCAAGTGAGCCGTGAGCAGGTTAACTAGGTCAGCAGCCATGCAGGTCTCCTTCTGAGTTCAGGATGCTGTTTCTCGGCTCTCTAATGGTGAGAAGAACCAGACCAGAGCCCAAGGACCCCAAATGTATGACACAAAGCCCAGAGCAATGCCCTCAAATCTACACCTGAGCCCAAATGCAGACTTAAGACTCAAGCTTCACAGCACAGGCCTTAGACTAAACCCAGAGCCTCAGAACCCAGCTTAAAAAATACAGAGCCCGTTTGTATGTGAGAGTAGAAATGTCCCTTTGCTCTCTGCCCAGCTCTGGGCCAGGGTCAGAGTCACCAAGTTGCCCTGACCATTGAACCTCCAGGGTACAATTTGAGGCACATACTGCAGTTTGGGGCAGGGTCCGGGGCTTGTCTCGTTCGGCTCATCTTCTTCCCCAAGGGTTCCTGCCCAGCCTGTGCACCATCCTTTGGATACTGGCATAGACTATTCCCCACCATGGCCAGGGAGGCATGGGCTGGAAGTATGGACGGCCGTAATTGTAGCCAGCTGGGGGAGGGGGTGGACTTGGCTATAAATACTCAGAAGGCTTGCTAAGCGCCTGCAGCTGTGGCCTGCGGGCTGTGGTGGGCTTTGGGGGTTGGGGGGAGTCAGGCATGGTCTAAATCTCTTTGCTGAGCCCAGCTCCTTGGCCTCGGGAGGGAGAAAGGAGGCAGCAATGTTTGTAGAACAGATAAAATCTGTTCTTAATTTAATGAGGGGCAGGCTTAAGATGGCAGCGCTAGACAGCCCCCTGGGAGGATGATGGTCACTCTCTAGGAGAGGGGCGTAGCCCCATCACCCGGATCGAGGTAGATATGAAGGAATGCTACCCGATGTGATCCTGAGAAGCAAGATTTATCATAGTTCCATCTCCTCACAAAGCAAGGGTCAGTTGTGGCTGAGAGAGCTGAACTCTGAATCGGGAAACCTAAATCACCCGGGATCTGAGCAGGGACAGTGGGGGCTAGTACTTGGCAGGATTAGAAGTTCCTGTGAGGTGACCCTGTCAGCAGTCAAGTGATTCATACAGAAGGAAGTCCTCTGGGCATCCCCGCTGCCCTTTCTCTGAGAGCTGCAGATTCCTTGCTCTTCCCAAGAGGTCTCGACTCCTCTCCCGGGAACTTCCTCGGAGTGCCATCAGAGGTCAAGAACTGTCTTTCTTTTCCTCCTGTAAGGCTGGAAAAGTGAGGCTCAGGAAGGGACTTGTCCAGGCTCCTGGGGGATCTAATGCAGCAACGGAACTAAAAATCAGGGCCCTTAAATACCGAAGGATGAGGTACGGCCGAGAAACAGCTTAATGATGGATGGAGAATGGGGAGAGAGAAAAAGATGACTGCCCTGTGCCTCCCGGAGCAGGGAGCTGGGTAACGGCGAGAGCACAGGCTGGGTGCCAGGGGCTGCAGCAGCAGACCTGGGAGCCGGTGGAGGGGTCAAGGCCAGAGGCAATTGGAGCTCTGCAGAGTAGCTGCAGCTAGATGGAGCCAGGAAGGCGCCTGCTGCCTGGGCACTCTCCTCTGAGCTTACAGCCCCAGCAGGTGTGGCTGGGGCAGGTGCCAGGACACAGTGGGCACAGGTGGCAGAGGGGAGAGAGCAGGCAGGAAGTGGCAGCTGCCCAGCCTGTCTCGGCACAGTCCACAGCCCACTGTCTGGACAGCAGGGAGAATGTGACTGATGTGGCCTGCTACAGGATTTTCAAGCCTGTGGGCCCAACATACCTGCGTCTAAAATTCCATTGTTTCAGGGCCATACTTAGCAGTGGAAGCATTAGAATGTTTTGCAGGTGAGAGCGAGGATCATAAACTCAGGATCTGAGATACAGTCCCCACCACAAGGAGTCACATGGAAAATTCTGTCTGCTCTCATGCGTCTCCTGGTCCCTTCCCCACTGGCATCAAGTGGCACCCCTCCCCAAGCCTGTGAGGACACCTGTGGCCTAGTCCCCATCTCTCTCTCTCCCCTGCAGCACACATCTATCCCCTCCTTACAGGGCTGAACCTGGGTGGTCCTAACAGAAAGCTCCTGCCTCTCCCTGGAGCCTACAGCTCTCCATGGCCGGCTTCTGAGAGACTGAAGATAAATGCCTTTCCCCAATCCTGCCAGCACCCTTGCTAAGCTTTGGAGCTAGAGCTGGAGTCCTCCTCACAGGCCCTCCGATGAGCCTCTGAGTCACCTAACCTGAGTAGAGGGAGGACTGAATGGGAGGAGCAGGAATCCAGTGTTTACCGGGCCAGGGAGGGCCAGGGAATAGCTGGGGCAGGCTGGGCAGGGGAGCCACGGGTGGCATCTAAAACGAGGCATTTCCCCTCTCCCCAGGAAAAGAAGGGGCAGGAAGTGCAGAAGGGGCCAGCTGTGGAGATTGCAAAGCTGGACAAACTGCTAAACGTCGTGAGGGAAGTCAAAACCAAAACCTGAGCGCCTGGCCCGGCCCGCCGCAACCCAAGGAGCACAGCGAGCGCTCTGCCTGGGCACCAGGGTGCCTAGGCACCAAGGACGTACCCACCCTGACCAAGTCCTGGTGTTGGCTTTCCACATTCTAGTTCTTGTGGTCGCAGCACCCTTCTCCATGGCCTGACTCTCCACCTCCATCACACTCCCTTTACACAAATAAACCTGTTTGAAAACTCATACCTTTAGTGTTTTCTACCACACAGCCCCCAAGAAGAGAAGTCTCAGGGTAAGCCACAGTTCCATTTATTATCCAACAAACAGTGGGAGGACCAGAGAAGGGGCCCAGCCCGGACACCCTCCCATTATTGCCATGGGTTCCAGTTTGCTTCCCCGACCTAGAGAGCCCAGAGGCACCGAGCTTAGGGAAGTGAGCAGCCCTTGACCCTGGGGATGGAGCAGAGTCCAGAGGGCCCTGGCCCTAGCACCGACTCCTGACCCCCCACCCCAGGCCTGTCCCTCTAGGACTACTCAGGCCTCTCTCGAGTCAGGCTGGCTACAATCTAGGCTGCTGGATCCAGCTTCAAATAGACTGGACTCCAGATTCTGGACCCCAGACTGGCTGAACTCTGGGATCAGATGCCACACTCTGACTCGGGTATACTCAGGTCCAGGACTCCAGGGTAGGCCAGGTGCCTTCAGGGCTGCAGCAGGTAGCTGCCTTCATGGCTAGGCTTCTGGGGGGGTGGTGCCTTCTCAGGACAGGGGCCAGGGCTGGAGTTGGGACTGGATTCCGAGAGAGAATCGACGTCAGTGGACCGGGAGTGGCAGGCCCAGCAGAGAATGACCCAAAGCAGCAGCAGCAAGAAGCCAACAAGGCCGTTGCAGACGATGGCGATGAGGGCCCCCTGGGAGATGGCTGCCCCCATGACAGGCAGCACCCTCAGGCCAGAGCAGAGAGCGGAGCTGCCTCAACGGCAAGGCCCATGCCGAGGCACAACTCCGGTACGGCCGGCTTTCCAAGGAGGCTGTCCTGTCCACACACAGGGATTCCCGGGCAGTGGAAATGCCCACCTGCAGTCCCGAGCCTGAGGAAGTACAGAGGAGAGGAGAGGGGGTGAAGAGGAAGGATGGGCTGAAGCCTGGGGGGACAGGCAGAGGGCATTGAGTGCCAGCAGGCTCAGGAGCCTCCCGAAGCCAGGACCTCCATCCTCGGGCCTGGCTCTGAGCACCTGGTGCGTGGTGCCGCCCGAGTGGGGAAGCTGTAGCAGGCAGGCACCCTCTGTCTCATCCTCCGTGGAACCAGTGGGTATAGCCTAGCCCTGCCCACCAAGCTTCTAGCCTTCAGACATGCTGTTGGTGGGCGGGACTGAGGTGGCCCAAGGCCCAGGAGGAAGAGGATTACGACCAGCCTTGAGGAGGCTAGGGCATCCTCTCTTTCTGAGGGCTGCAGTAAGCGAGTCCAGGAAAACTGCAGAGGTGCCAGCTCCCACAGAAGGGAACTTTGTGGAGGCCCTGGCAGGGATGTGTGGGTCCTGCATATCCAAGGCTGTGCCTAGGTGTGCCTTCCCCCGGAACTTTGCCTCTCTGGGTCAGGTGTGTGTGTGTGTGTCTGAACGGTACACCCTCCTGTCTCTCTGTCCGTTGCTGGATCTGCATCCATACCTACCTCTGCGAAGGTGTGTGGCTGCCTGTCTCTGCGTCCCTATCTCAGAGTGTTTTGAGTGTTCCATGTGTGTGTCTCATTTCTCCACCAGTCTGTCTCTGGGTATCTCTTGTCTCTTTTCACGACTCTATGTCCCTCTGCCCTCCAGGACATGTCTCTTCCTTTCTCCGTGGGGTCGGCATCAGTGGTTCTGTGCGTCTTGCATGTGTCTCTGTCTTTGTGTGTCTATCTCTCCTCCAAGCCGTGTGTCTCTGTCTCTGTGTGGGTCACTGTCTCTTCATCTCCGTTCTGTATCTCTGTATCTCGACCCTCTCTGCCCGTAGGGGAGGCCTCCCCCCTCCCCTTACCTGAGTTGAGCCCGGTGCGCGCCCGCGGGAGGGTTCCGGGGCAGCGGGATGCTCAGCGCCGACTGAGGCTCGAAAGCCTGCGGGCGGGGGGCGGCGGGAGGCGGGCAGGGGCGACGTCCACTCCCCGGGCCCTCCCCCTGGGCCGCGCAGCCTCTGCCGGCCGCTCCCGCCGGGGCGCGACCGGGCCGGCCTCTGCCGCGGGCGGTCTGCGGAGAGCGGGCACCTCCTCCCCCTGGGGCGGCGCCTCCTCCGCGGCCGGGGCCGCTAGCTCGCTCGCTCGGCGGCGCTCGGGCGGCGGCGGCTGGAGCGTCGAGGAGTTCGGCTGGGCTCGGCTGAGTTCGGCTGGGTTCGACTGGGCTCGGCTACGGCGGGAGGGAGTCGGCTGAGCTCGGCTGAGCTCGGCGGGCAGCAAAAACAGCGAAAAGCCCCGCCTCGCGAGTGGCCAGCGGCCTGCGGCCCTTCGGGGGCGGAGCCATCTCTGTGCCGCTGCCGCCGTTCAATTGGCTGGTCGGGCCAAGTTCCCGCACCATTGGCTGTGCTCTGGGGTGGGACACCACTGTCCTGGTGCAGGAGAGAAGGAGGGAGGGGCGGAGGGGGGAGGCGAGGGGGGGACGAAGGGGCCACTTTGTTTTGATTCATCCCTTGAGAGGGTGGAGGGCCAGGCTCACCTTTTTGCAGTGATTTCTTGCACCTTCCACACCTAGAGTGCACCCCTGTATGTGAGACATCCACCCCTCCATATCTGGGAGAAGTCTGTCCCTATTATCTGGGAAAAGTCCATGTATCTCCACACCTGACCCTCACCTTTTATCTTCCTACACATCCCATTCTCACCCCGCATTCCCACGTTACAGCACCTATAGATTGCCCTGGGTCCTAAGAACAGTGTGATCCCTGGTAACACAAGACCTTGGCTGCGTTTTACTGATTTCTCGCTCAGTGTTGGTCACAGGCTTGTGCTTTGCTTGCTAGAGGGAGCCTGAGACACCTGAAGAATGGCTCAGCTCCAGCCGGACTAGATCCGGGCTTGGTGGATGCCCTGACTCTCCATCCCGATAGTTCTCCTGAGACCAAAGCGGCTCGGACAGGAGCAGCCAAGCAGGCCTTCCTCTCCCCGACTCTCACTCACACGGCAGTGACGTTCTAACCAAGGGCTCTGGGCTCATGCATGCCAGGCAACCATGTACTCCACCACTGAGCGACGTTCTTAGCCCTCCAGGGATCCTTAAGTGTTTTTATCTGGGCCCTCTTGTCTCACTTAAATATTGTCCATGGACTATCAGTTCTATCATGGTGGCTCCCACTGACCCACATCCAGGCTTCACTTCTCTCTGGAATACTTACTACACTCACAGCAAAATGTCTACTGGAGTTGCGGTAGTGTTTGTTCCTGGTTCCACTTTTTAACTTTATGACGTTGGGCAAATTTCTTGACTCTCCTAACCAGGGCTTTCTTCTCCACAGGATGGTTATAGTAATAGCTACTTCTCAGGTTTCTCACTAATTCATTTATACCATACCAACCGCATCAGCAAATGCCAGCTGACATAAACCCAGGACCAGGTGGCTAAAGGGCAGGCCCCCTCCTTCCAAAAAGACCCCTGGAAACCTGGATACTATTTGAAAAGGAGAAAGGGAAGTATAAAGTAATGTGAACAGCTGAATCATCTAAAGCTACTGTGTTAGAGGCTGTCTAAAATAAACTGTGGACCCCGTGGAGTTTGTCAGAATGGATTAATTTTAGTTTCCCCCTGTTACCCAGCAGGGTGGGGGTATTGTGAGAAAGATCAGATCAGTTATAGGAAAGAGAGGAGACATATGGTCGCACATCTGAGTGTAATGTGAGTGAATTTGTGACCTAGCCACAGGGGTTCAGATTTTATCCTGGAAACAGTGGGGAGTCACTGAAGAATTTTGAGCACGGGAGTGATGTGATCATATCCAGAAATTAGAAGGATGATTTGGGCTGTTGGGCAGAAAGGAGTTTGGAAAGCATTTGAGGGTGAAAGATGGGGTATTGACGAGCAGCTAAAAATGGCCCAGGCAAACCCAGTGGGAGGTCACTGGGGGTATTCGGTTACTTCAGGAAGCAGAGCTTATAAAGTAGGGGAAGTTAGAAGAGGACATTCTGGGGTAACTGGTTAGTAGCCACAATACCGTGATGCAATGTCCAGTGATAAAGAATACATGAGCGGGCTGATGAGATGCCACCAAGCCTGATGACCTTAGTTCAATCCCTGGGGTCAATGTGGTGGAAGTTGAGAACCGATCCCAAGTTGTCCACTGCCTTCCATGCTACTCACTGTAGCACATGTGTGCCCCCCACCAAACAAACATAATTTAAATGTAAGTTTCAGCAAGGACTTGGGTGATAATATCTGAAGATGTCAAATCGGGGATGCCAATAGAATGCCTTAGCGTAGCTGTTCAGTAGGCATGGATAACCAGCTCCGAGGTCCAGGAAAGATGTCCCGTGAGTTTTTGCAACTGCGTGAAAGAGAGTTAAGTCAGGAAACCATATGAGCTCACTTAAGGGGAGTCAGAGGTGGCTTAAACAGTCCCAACAGACCCGCCTCCTGTCCTGGTCATCCCCACCCTCATAGGGTCTCTAATGTCCGCCCAGTTCACGTAGTGCAACAAGACTTCAAAGAGTTCCAGGTACTAAAATCTTATTGTCTAGGTCGTCAGGGAGACTGGTGGAGTGGCGGCTGCTGTCGCCACTGCTGCTTTTTGGACGCGATTTGAAATTCCTTAGAAAGTACTCTGATTTGCTGAGCTTCGGATTGCTCAACCGTGGTTGAGAAGGGAGTCTGGTGACCTACATGATAACCCTAAGGAAGTGGGGTGGGTGGCTTCCAGGAGACAGGTCACGAAGAAACAGAATGGCAGCTACTCACTGTTTCCACACATTATATCCCAGACACAGACACATCATTTTCTCTGTATACGATTCCAAAACATCCTCAGAAACTGCTAGATCCTGGATCTAGAGTGTTCCTGAAGGCCATGTGTTACAGGCTGTCGGAGGCAGGAAGTGTTGGGTCCCTCCAGGGGTGCTCTTGAAGGGGACTGTGGAAGTTGAATCTTTTCCTCTTCCTCTGTTTTTCTTGTCTGGGCCAAGAAGCAAGGAGTTTCGCCCTCTTTCTGCCCTGGTGACACCTGCAAAACTGTGAGCTGAAGTAACCTTTTAACTTACATCTTTGTTACATTTATGAATGTGTGTGTGT